GCAAGTATGTTGACAACAGATTGTCTTAATTTCTCTTCATATGAGAATGTCTACATTTTGCCTGTCTTAGAGTATTATCACTTAAGAGCAGGTACAGTGGCCCGCTCCTGTAATCCCAGCACTTTGGGAGGCCAAGGTGGGCGAATCACCTGAATTTGAGACCAGCCTGGCCAACATGGTGAAACCTTGTCTCTACTAAAATACAAAAATTAGCCGGGCTGGTGGCATGTGCCTGTAATCTCAGCTACTTGGGAGGCTGAGGCAGAATTGCTTGAACCCGGGAGGCAGAGATTGCAGGGAGCAAGATTGCACCACTAAAGTCCAGCGTGGGTGACAGAGTGAGACTCCATCTCCATTAAAAAAAAAAAAAAATAGTATTATCACTTGATACGTAATTCTGGGTTTTAGTTCTTACAGCACTTTAAAATGTCCACTTCCTTCTATTATTCATAACTTGATGTGACATCTGCAATTACTCAGATCCCTCAAGTAATGCATTATGTTTCTCTAGCTTTTTTCAATAATTATTTTTTTCAGTATTGTAATTATGATACGTCTGGGCATGAATTTCTCAGGGTTTATTCTGTTTGGTATTCACCAACCATCTTAAATCTGTAGGTTTATGTCTTTGATCAGATTTGGGGTGTGTTCAACCATCATATCTTTAAGTATTTTTCTGTACCACACATTTTCTTCTCTTGTGATGTTAATCACAGGAATGTTAGACCTTTTGGTGTGGTCCCACAGATTTCTGTAATTTTTTTTTTTTTCTGCTGTTTAGAATGAAGAGTTGATTGAATTGTATAATTAGTATCAACCTACTTTTTAGAGTCTTGTTCTGTTGCCCAGGTTGGAGTGCTGTGGCATGATCTCAGCTCACCACAACCTCCATCTCCAGCTCTGGGTTCAAGTCATCCTTCCACCTCAGCCTCCCGAGTCGAGTCACTGGGACTATAGGCTCGCCACCACACTCAGCTAATTTTTTGTATTTTTAGTAGAGACAGGGTTCTCAACATGTTGGCCAGGCTGGTCTCAAACTCCTGGCCTCAATTGATCCACCCGCCTAAGCCTCCCAAGGTGCTGGGATTACAGGATTGAGCCACCATGCCTGGCCAGTAGCAACCTATCTTCAAGTTCACTGATTTTTTTTTCCTCTGACATCTTCACTCTGCTATTGAGCCTATCCACTGAGTTTTTTTATTTTGGTTATTTTTCAATTATAAAATTTCTTTTTGATACTTTATACCTTGAGTTTCTTTGCTGAGACCTAGCTTTCATTTCATGAGTGTTCATCCTCATTTGAAGCATATTTATAATGGCTACTTTCAAATTTTTGTCAGAAAATTCTAGCATCTATGTCATATCAATACTGACTGACTTTTCCTATGTTACTTGAAATTTTCTGGTTTTTTTATATACCAAGTAATTTTGGATTATATCCTGGACATTCTAAATATTATAAGACTCTAGTCTTCTTTTTTTTTTTTTTTTTTTTTTTTTGAGACAGAGTCTCTCTCTGTCGCCCAGGCTAGAATGTAGTGGCACGATCTCAGCTCACTACAGCCTCTGCCTTCCAGGTTCAAGCGATTGTCCTGCCTCAGCCTCCGAAGTACCTGGGACTACAGGCACGTGCTACCATGCCCAGCTAATTTTTGTGTTTTTAGTAGAGATAGGGTTTCACTATATTGACCAGGCTGGTCTCAAACTCCTGACCTTGGGTGATCCGCCTACCTTAGTCTCCTAAAGTGCTGAGATTACAGGTGTGAGCCACCACACCTGGCCAAGACTCTGGATCTTATGGAGAATTTTGACGTTGTTTTGACAGGCATTAAAACTGGTTGGGTTCAGGCCACAAGTTCCAACCTGGCTTTTTTTTTTTTTATTTCAATGTCAGTTTCAAAGCCTTTTCCTTTCTAGGCACATTTCTCCATAGGCTATGGTCTTTTCCTTAGTTCAGTTCTCAAAGTCTTTGTTATGCTCCTTAGGATTAGATCCACATAGGTACAGTTTGGAGGGGCAGCCCAGCAGTTCATAAGCAACTTAATGGGGTCACTTGCCCAATCTCCTCCCTCTCTGTGATGTCCCCAGTACTTTCCCATCCCCGGGGCTCCCCATTTTAGTTCTCTGACCAGAAAGTGAGACTTGACTTACCCAACTCTGCCAATATCTCATGATTGCACCTGCATCCAGGACAAGATAGCAAAAGGACACAGAGAGAAAACGAGCAACAGAGGTCCAACCCATCTTCTTGGGACCCCATGCTGTATTATCTTACTTATTTATTTATGAGACGGAGTCTCACTCTGTCCCCAGGCTGGAGTGCAGTGGCATGATCCTGGCTCACTGCAACCTCTGCCTCCTTCGTTCAAGTGATTCTCCCGTGTCAGCCTCCTGAGTAGCGGGGATAACAGGTATGCGCTACAACGCCCCACTAATTTTTGCATTTTTAGTAGAGATGGGGCTTCACCATATTGGCCAGGCTATTCTCAAACTCCTGACCTCAAGTGATTCACAGGCCTCCGCCTCCAAAAGTGCTGGGATTACAGGCGTGAGCCACCAGGCCCAGCCCCATGCTTTGTTATTTTATTTCCAATTGGAAGGGAAGGTTCTTCTCTAAGAATTTTAGGTGCATACTGGCTCTTACAGTCACTTCCGTTGCTACCAGGAAACTCCTTTTCTACTCCCTGAGCCTGAACTAGAAGGACTTCTCCTAGAGCTCTCTGTCTGCACTCAGCTCCTTTCAAGTTTTAGGCAACCTCGAGTCCAGCCTGCAGGCTCCTAGAGAGAAAAAAAATGGAGCTGGATATGCTGGCACAAGCCTGTAGTCCCAGTTACTCGGGAGGCTGAGGCGGGAGGATTGCTTGAAGCAAGGAGACTCGCCTGAACAACATAGTGAAAATCCTGTCTCTTACAAACTAATTTTTTTTAAATGGTAAACTTATCACCGGGTCTAGTGGTACTTCAAATTTACGTCTTCTCCCCAAATCTACCTGTTACTATTTACTTTTCAGGGACCTGAAGTAGCTGCTTCATGCATCCTGACCAGGTTTTATAGCTGCCTTCTGAGGGAGAGAGATAGGGGAGAGTATATATAGTACATCTTCCTCAAACCTGGGACCTCTCTGGTTGCTTTTAGGATTTTTTTCTCTTTAACTTTGGTTTTCTGCAATTTGACCATGGTGTGCCTATATGTGGTTTCCTTGTATTTTTCTTGGTTGAGATTCACTCAGTTTCTTGACTTATACATTAATGACTCTCATCAGTGTTGGGAAAATCTGTCATTATCTCTTCAACAATTTATTTTGTTTCCTTCTCGCCTTCTGGGACTCTAACGATTATACATATGGTATTCATTTGATATTGTCCTCCATTTCTCTATGCTTTATTCTTTCTTTTATTCTACATGTTTTCTCTCTGTGCTTCAGTTTATATAATTTTATTCTTCCATCTTTGAATTATCTGAATCTTTTGCTGTGCCTAGTCTTTTTTTTTTTTTCGGCTTAAACTAAAAATTCCTGAATATACCTTAAAATAAAAAATATTAAACTTGGCCAGGGGCGGTGGCTCAGGCCTATAATCCTAACACTTTGGGAGGCCAAGGTTCAAAACCAACCTGGGAAACATGGCGAAACCCTATCTCTACAAAAAATACAAGAGTTAGCCAGGCTGGTTAACAGTGAGCCACAGTGCCTGCCCAAGTTGAAGGTATCTTAACTTGGTTAAATGACAGCGCAGTCTACCACTTCATAGAGTTTGCCCCAAATCCGTTTAATATAGTACTTGGAGTTAAATACCAATTCCCCTGCCTCCAAGAGTTCAGTGGGAGAGACTACATAGTCTGGCTTCACTTGGCATTCCTTTCTTCCTCATTTCATTTTATTCATAACCAGAGCTCTTTTTTTTTTTTTTTTTTTTTTTTTTTTTTTTTTTTTTTCTGGAGACAGTGTCTCGCTCTGTCACACAAGCTGGAGTGTACTGCTGCAATCGTGGCTCACTGCAGCCTCAAACTCCTAGGCTCCGGAATTCTCTGTCTTCAACCTACTGAGTAGCTAGGACTACAGGTGCATGCCACCATACCTGGCTAATTTTTAAAGGTTTTTATAGAGAGGGGGTCTTGCTTTGTTGCCCAGGTTAGTTTTGAACCTTCCTGGCTTCAAGCAGTCCTCCCACTTTGGCCTCCCAAGGTGCTGGAATTATAGGCAAAAGCCACCAAGCTGAGCCTCAGAAAAGTTTTATGAAACATGTATTAAGTATGTGCCAGGCAATTTACCAAGCACTAGGAGATACAAAGACCACTAAAACATGATCCCTAGCCTTAATGGAATTTTACATTTCAGTAGAAGGACATAAACATCAATAGGTACCACATGATATTAAAAATATGATAGAACTATGCCGGGCGCGGTGGCTCAAGCCTGTAATCCCAGCACTTTGGGAGGCCAAGGCGGGTGGATCACGAGGTCAAGAGATCGAGACCATCCTGGTCAACACGGTGAAACCCCGTCTCTACTAAAAATACAAAAAATTAGCTGGGCATGGTGGCGTGTGCCTGTAATCCCAGCTACTCACGAGGCTGAGGCAGGAGAATTGCCTGAACCCAGGAGGCGGAGGTTGCGGTGAGCCGAGATCGCACCATTGCACTCCAGCCTGGGTAACAAGAGCGAAACTCCACCACAAAAAAAAAAAAAAAAAAAAGAAAGAAAAAAAAGAATATGATAGAAATAAATACATGGTACAGGGGAGGCAGAGTAGAAGTAGTCATTTCCACCATAGGCAAAAAGGTTTACTAAAGGAGATTAAAACTGACAGTGAGTCTTATAATGTGAGTAGAAGTTGCCTGGAGAGGACAGGATAGGCAAAAAAATTACTTTCCAGCAAAATATCATGCAATTTATTTAAAATACAAAAACAGCCCAATGAGACTTTTGGTATAAAACTTGAAGGAAATTTTTATTTTTCTAATTTATCTCTTTCCCCCTAATTTTTAAAAATCTTTGAAGGTTATCAACTGGCAAACATCTCTTCACATTCCACCACAAGCTAAACTCAGTCCTGAAGCTTCTGACCTTATTATTAAACTTTGCCGAGGACCCGAAGATCGCTTAGGCAAGAATGGTGCTGATGAAATAAAAGCTCATCCATTTTTTAAAACAATTGATTTCTCCAGTGACCTGAGACAGCAGTCTGCGTCATACATTCCTAAAATCACACACCCAACAGATACATCAAATTTTGATCCTGTTGATCCTGATAAGTTATGGAGTGATGATAACGAGGAAGAAAATGTAAATGACACTCTCAATGGATGGTATAAAAATGGAAAGCATCCTGAACATGCATTCTATGAATTTACCTTCCGGAGATTTTTTGATGACAATGGCTACCCTTATAATTATCCGAAGCCTATTGAATATGAATACATTAATTCACAAGGCTCAGAGCAGCAGTCGGATGAAGATGATCAACACACAGGCTCAGAGATTAAAAATCGAGATCTAGTGTATGTTTAACATGCTAGTAAATAAATTAATGAGGATTTGCAAAAGGGCCTGAAATGTGAGGTGTTTTGAGGTTCTGAGAATAAAATTATGCAAATATGACAGAGCTACATATGTGTGCTCTGTGTACAATATTTTATTTTCCTAAATTATGGGAAATCCTTTAAAAATGTTAATTTATTCCAGCCTTTTAAATCAGTATTTAGAAAAAAATTGTTATAAGGAAAGTAAATTATGAACTGAATATTATAGTCAGTTCTTGGTACTTAAAGTACTTAAAATAAGTAGTGCTTTGTTTAAAAGGAGAAGCCTGGTATCTATTTGTATATATGCTAAATAATTTTAAAAGACAAGAGTTTTTGAAATTTTTTTGAAAGTTTTAGTTTTATCATGCTTTAACCAAATATGAAACATACCACGTATTTACAGAGCTCTTTTTCCCCTCATAACCTTGTTTTTGGTATAAAATAAGCTAGAGAAATAAAGCCATCATGTTGGTGAGTGAACCTAGGCTAATGATAATCTGTATAATTCACATCCTGAAAGTAAGGAATACAAGGTTGAAAAAATATTAATATGTTCATCAGAAGGAAAAATAGCACAGATATCTTTTTCCCCCTTCTGTGGAATATTTAATCTTCTTGCATTTATTTCTCAAGAATTACTGGCTCTAAAAGAAGCCAAAGCACTACTTAGCTTTCTTTCCATGTTGCGTTTTTTTTGTTTTTTTGTGGGTTTTTTTTTTTTTTTTTGAGACAGAATTTCGCTCTGTCACCAGGCTGGAGTGCACTGGTGCGATCTTGGCTCACTGCAGCCTTCACCTTCCAGGTTCAAGCAATTCTGCCTCAGCCTTCCGAGTAGCTGCGACTATAGGCGCGCACCACCACGCCCAGCTAATTTTTGTATTTTTAGTACAGACGGGGTTTCACCATGTTGGCCAGGCTGGTCTCAATCTCCTGACCTCATTATCCGCCCACCTCAATCTTCCAGAGTCCTGAGATTACAGGTGTGAGCCGCTGCGCCCAGCCCCATATTGGTATTTTTGATGCTGCTTCCAATTTTAAAAGGGAACAAAGCTGCCATAAATCAAATTTGTCAATACTAAAAGCTAAAATATTTCCCACCATCCTAAGCAGAGAATTATTTTCATTTTCATATACTTTTCCTTTACAGTAACTATTTTGATTATATCATCAATGTTACCTGTTTACTCTTTCAGAACAGTGCTGCATACACAGATTGTTATTGGCAAAGGAAAATCTGACTATCTGGCAATATTTTATCTAACAGCAGATTAATTGGTGAAAAAATTAACTCTTGAGATGGCCATTAATAATTAGGAAAATTTACAGAGTGGTCTTAGTAGAAAATTCAAGTCCTCCTAATTTATTTATTCTTGAACATGCCTATCATGTATAATGCTTAGGTTCTAAGGAAGATTAAGGTTTCATGCCAAAATACATGTAGCTTATCTTTTAGGAAGGGGGGAAAGGCTCTATTTTGACCATAGTAAAGTTTGTATTGTATTTTATTTCCTGTTCTTAAACTCCACTGATATGGGATTGTTTTTATCAAAAGTTACTATTTGTGGATTGGAGGCATAATTGTAATGATTTTCAGACTTTTTGCTTCCTTCACGTAAAAGCTAATTGAAACCATATATGTAGTAAAATTAAAGGCAGAGCTGTTACAGTTGAATTGGAGAGTCAGGGCAAAGAAAACTTATTAACCCATACTTGCCACCTTTCTACAGATGGTCCTTTCAGAGCTCAGCTTAAAAACTACTGCTGTGTTCTCATGGGTCTTGGGGTTACTGGTTCTTGTGAGAATCTGATGAAAGCTGTGGACTCTTCCTAGAAAAAAAAAAGCATTATCAACACATACACATACAATGTTACATGCAGTTTCAAGGGATTTTGGACATACAGTCACAGGCTCTAGGTTATGGACCTCTGTCCCATAAGAAAATCAATCTGTTAAACTAGGAACTTTGCTTTTAACTTACCAGTCACTACTTGGCATGTCTTATATAAACTGATAATTTGTGATGGAAAGGGTCTGTAGCATGTGATACAAGGTGAACTTATGAATGCCTTCTTGCTGGTACATTAAATTGTTTTAAATATGCCCTTTGGAGGTCACTGAAATGTTGGACTCATTACAGGCTTGATACAGAAATATTTATGAAGGATTTCTAATCAGAGAATTGTAAGAAAATAACGCTAGCATGAAATGGCAGTCTTCACCTCATGGTTCATGGAACATTTGGTTAGTCCCATAAAATCCTGTGCAAAACAAAGTAGTTCAAGAATTTTTAGGTGGGTACTCACATTTATAAGGTATTCCTCTTGCTCTTTGGGCTTTTTCAGTCTGATTTATTTAAATTTTCATTTAGTTGTTTTACTTCTGGACTATGGTGCAATACAGTAGAAAATAACTTGTTACATTTATGTTGTAGGAAAACTAAGGTGCTGTCTCCTCCCCTTCCCTTCCCACAAAATCTGTATTGCCCCTATTGCTGAAATGTAACAGACACTACAAATTTTGTATTCTTTTTTTTGGTTTTGTTTTTTGTTTTTTTTTTTTGAGACAGGGTCTCACTCTGTCACCCAGGCTGGAATGCAGTGGCACTTCACAGCTCACTGCATCCTCGACCTCGGGGCACACGCGATCCTTTTGCCTCAGCCTCCTAAGTAGCTGGGCATGCGCCACCAAGCCCGGCTAATTTTTATATTTTTAGTAGAGGTGAGGTTTCACCATGTTGCCCAGGTTGGTCTGGAACTCCTGGGCTCCAGTTATATGCCCACCTCAGCCTCCCAAAATACCGGGATTACAGATGTGAGCCACCACGTCTGGCGGAAATTTGTATTCTTTTAAAATTTTCGCTGACACAACAAGCCTTTTGCATTTATCTCAAGCAGTATACATGCCTTTGGTATCAGCAGTTTTAACAGTTTGAATGTATGTATTAGCTACCATATTCCAAAATTACACCTACTTCTTTCAGTATATAATCTGGTGCTTCCTGACCAAAAAGATGAGAAAAACAATGTTAAAAATATAGATGCTTTCCATTGAAATGGAGTGAAAACATTGGTTCTATTTGTTTTCTTTTTAAAATAATTTACTTGCTGTCTTTATTCTACTTACCCTTTTAATGCATATCAATAGTATTTATAAGATGTGTTCTATAATTATGTAATTGTAGATACTGTTATGTATTGTCCAGTGACATCATAAGGCAGGCCCTACTGCTGTATCTTTTCTACCTTCTTATTTGTAATAGAAACTATAGAATGTATGTCTAAAAAGTCACTTTGAGATTGACTTTTTTAAAAAGTTACTATCTTCTGCTGTTGCAAAGTGCAAAACTGTGAGTGGAATTGTTTTATTTTTACTTAATATGTTAGAAATTAGAGATTACAGTGGGAGGATTTTTAGACATTGCTGCTGCTGTTACCCAAGGTATTTTAGATAAAAAAATTTTTAATAAACAAAAATCCCTTTGGTATTTAAACTGGAACATTTAGCCTGTTCATTTTAATCTAAAGCAAAAAGTAATTTGGGTCAAAATATTGGTATATTTGTAAAGCGCCTTAATATATCCCTTTGTGGAAGGCACTACACAGTTTACTTTTATATTGTATTGTGTATATAAATATTTTGTATTAAAATTGAATCAGTGGCAACACTAAAGTTTTATAAAATCATGCTTTGTTAGAAAAGGAATTACAGCTTTGCAATATAACTAATTGTTTTGCATAATTCTGAATGTAATAGATATGAATAATCAGCCTGTGTTTTTAATGAACTTATTTGTATTTTCCCAATCATTTTCTCTAGTGTAATGTTTGCTGGGATAATAAAAAAAAAAATTGAATCTTTCAATTATGTGTGGAAAGCTAATTTTTACACTGCTTAACTATATTGTTTTTAATTCAAAAACTTATGTAAATCTTTTTATTCTCTGAGAAAATTTATGATTAAAATTTTGATGTTTTAGAATTAAAATAGATATAACTAATGATAGTACTTAGGTTAAGGCAAATTGAATATTATGTAAATGTCAAATGTTTTAAATGTTTTTATTTTGTCCAATATAAGTACAATAAATATTTCCTATTAAAGCCTTCCATTAGATTACAGGTGTAGAATTTAATTATTAAATTCTACATTTAGTACCATTTGATACAGCATATAATTTTTAAAATGTAAAAATGTTGGTTTATCTGTTTTCCTTTATAATCCTTTCTGTTTGTTTTATTTCTTTTTTTTTTTTTTTTTTTTTTTTTT